ATAAAAGTAATGATGGTGATAACACACAACAAACACACACACACACACACCACGCACACACACACACACACACACACACACACACACACACACACACACACGCACACACACACAAACGCAAACGCACACAAATATAGGTAAATACATAATGATATTCATAGGTAGAAAGATAAACCGACAAAGAGAAAATATAGATAAATAACCAGATAGATAAAAAAGAAAGAAGCAGATAAGGACGTATAGACAGACAGATACACAGATAAATTTAAGATCAATAAATGCCACTGTGATGCGTATCCTCTGGGGTATGCTGGGCTGCCGCACGTATAACGGTGTTTGATCAAACTTAATAATCCCAATGAAATCGATTTTGATCTGCGTGTGAATGAGTACCCGGTCATTACTCTTACGTCTATCCAGTCAATGATGTTGGATTAGTTTGGATCAAAGGATATAAATCCAGTTTTCCATTCATGAGGGGGGTGGGGGGTGGGGGAGCTTCCAAAATGTCGTGCGCCCTAACTATCGCCTCGCTTTGGTGCCCAATATAAGGCGTCTTTCGGCGGGCACTGTTCACAACGTCCCTTCCGTCTCCTGTGTGAAGGTAAACATTTCCTCCCTGCTGAAGAAGTCTGTGTGGTATATTTCCGAAGAAAGCATATGCGGTATTTTTTCGTGAGGTTTTCGTATATTCTTAAAAGTAACCATCACTCTATTTTAAGTTTATGAAAGGGTATTTATTTTCGTCGTTCGAGTGTCCTTCAAAACACAGGTCTTTGTACTTTTCAGTGTATACCGAAGCGTTAGCCTTTGATGCTTTGATGTGATTTTTTTGTTGTTGTTTTTGCAGGCAGTGCATTAAAAGCAATCTATCGATCACCAACCATGTCGCATTCAGGTAAGTCACAAGAAATGTCAATCTATGAATTGCATTTTGAATTTGATAGTATCCTGATATACAGACGTGTGGAATCTTATGCATAGATGCAATTCTTTTGCCTTTACCCTTTCGTTTTCCTTTCTTTCTTCATGCACTCATGAATAAGAATAAACACCCAAAATAACGGATATAATTTACAATAAGGTTCGCGTCATAAAACCTTAAAACATAGATAGTACAAAAAAATAATACATTTTTTATTTTCTGTCTCTTTAGATATGTCATCAGGAAAAGAGAGAACTTGCATGAACACCACGACTGAACAGTGCGATTCTAAATGCGACGAAGGGGGCCAATGCCGGGGCAACTCAGGTCAGTTCCCCTGCATTGAATTGTTCTTTGGGAAAAGTGTACCTTTATGTCTTTCTATATCTGAGCTTGGAAGAACTCGATAAGAGGCATAACGGAGCTGGATTGAAATGCACGAGAGAGAGAGAGAGAGAGAGAGAGAGAGAGAGAGAGAGAGAGAGAGAGAGAGAGAGAGAGAGAGAGAGAGAGAGAGAGAGAGAGAGAGAGAGAAGGGGGGAGGAGAAGAGAGGAAGCAAAAGAGATAGAGACAGATATAGAGAGACAGACAAGGAGACCGCAATAAGAACTACCTTTAACTCCATTCTCTCTCTCTCGATATCTATCTGCCTGTCTATCTCTCTACCTACCTACCTAATCTAATAAAATACAAACAAATAACAGACATGAAAATCATCAAAGGATTAGATGCAGACGACGACCTCTAACGCTCCACCCACAGGCAAGAGGAGAACCGACATCGGGACGGAGCATGAGTGCTGCGACGGCTCAGAGAGAGAGGAAAGAGACGGGAAGACTGAACGTTCGGCTTGCGGCGACAGACATAAATAGGTCGACTGTGTCTCTCTTCCTTTGGAGATGGACTCTGCTTTTGATGGATTCTGACCAACTTTTTCGTAGGTGGGCTTCGTATCTTTAAGTCTGTAGTCTATCGGTCGTCAGCAACGGAATTTGTCCAAATATTCGCGATATTGCACAGCTTCCCTTGATTAAATATCATTTTAGTATCAATCAGAATTTAATATTTCATATCAAGCTTCAGTCTTTAACAGCACTTTAAGTATCTGCATCCTTCCCTTACCCAATATATCAGGGTGAGTATCCTTTCTGAAAAAAAGGGCTATTGGTCAAGACACGTGTTTTTTGAAGGGCTGCACCTCTTTTCTACATGCTGATTACTGGGACCTAATTTATAGAACTGACTATAGAAAAAACTGTATTTCAGAATTTGCTTAAAAGGAAAATCAATTAGGAATGTCTACTGATGGGAAATAACTTTTTAGGCTGATAATCTTCATTAGTAACCACATTTTTTTGGGTCTGATCTTGGAGGTCTGACCGATGTATGATGGTGTCTCTCATACATTGGTCGATTTTTTTTAAAATTTAGGATTATTTCGCGTAATATGAAGACATTCTTGATTTTTTTTACTTCTTCCCAACTGTCTTACTATCGGCTAATGAGTTTTACAAGATCAGGCTAAAAAAGACTTAGAGGGTTACAGGCTGCACGGATCACTTTGTATCTTTCATTCACACCTATTGTAGTCATATTGTGTACTCTTTATGTATGAGTAGATATAAACATATTTCGTACATATCTTGAACACAGATATTTCCACACACTCGTAATGCTTCGAAGGAACTTACCTTTATCATACTCGCAATGCTTTGATCTGTAAGAGGAAAAACAGAATTTAGCAACTGAAATAAATGCAACTGATTTTCTTGTATATTTTTTGCAAATGATATATTTTGTTATATTTTGCTGATGGATATGTTTTTGAACTATTATATTTGTTAATTGATATATCTGTCATTTTTTGCAATTGATATATTTTGTTATCTTTTGTTGATTAAGCTTATTAGTTCTAGTTATAATCATTTTTGAAGGTAAGTCAGCATTTATTTTGATGATATTAAACTCCGCATTGTAAGATGAATAAAGGTGAAAAATAGCACTGTTCGTACGTCATTGCCCTTTCCCAAGTTACAATTCTTCAAGTGGAAAGAGAGAAATAGAAATGCATGTGCGAGAGAGAGAGAGAGAGAGAGAGAGAGAGAGAGAGAGAGAGAGAGAGAGAGAGAGAGGAGAGAGAGAGAGAGAGAGAGAGAGAGAGAGAGAGAGAGAGAGGCAGAGATATAAAGAGAAAGAGAAAGAAAGCGAGAGAGAGAGAGAGAGAGAGAGAGAGAGAGTGAGAGGAGAGAGAGAGAGAGATGAGTGAGTGAGTGAGTGAGAGTGAGTGAGTGAGTGAGTAAGAAAGGAGAGAGTGAGAGAGAGAAGAGAGAGAGAGAGTGAGAAAGGAGAGAGAGAGTGAGAAGAGCGAGAGAGATTGAGAGAGAGACGAGAGAGAGAGAGAGAGAGAGAGAGGAGAGAGAGAGAGAGAGAGAGAGAAGAGAGAGAGAGAGAGAGAGAGAGAGAGAGACATTACTTTCAAACGAGGCAAGTGCCAACCCTCAATGCATGAAGATTAAAAGCTAAAAGTGATAAAAGGCTTTTAATTCTCGCTCAATAAAGGTGATTTACTCCATCAAATAAACATGTTAACGGCAAGGTTTAAAGGGTGTGGCATATCGCAAAGAGATATTATGGAATGTTCCATTGGCTGAGGAAGAACATAGTTAACCGAAATACATAGCTTGTTCTCACTCTTTGCATACGTGGTCACGTGTATAAGCATATATATGATACACACACACAGAACACAGAACACACGCACAACAGACACACACACACACACACACAATAACAATTTGAAACACACACACACATGCACATACACAGACACACACGACACACACAACACACACACACACAACACACACACACACACACACACCATATATATATATATATAATATATATATATATATATATATATATTAGTTTATATATTAGTATATCTATCTATATTATATACATATATATATATATATATATATATATATTATATATATATATATATATATTACATATATATTACACACAGACACACACACACACACACACACACACACACCACAATGTACACACATATATATGTGTATGTACTTTGAACTTGGACTTGGTGTATTTGACTTCTAAATTATTATGTCCGTAATAAAAATGAAATACACATACAGTATGTTCGTTCTCTGTGTACAAGCGTATATATATCACGCACCCGTTTTCTGTGAGTAGAATTCCCTCATACTTCAGACCATCTAGATTCTATCCTCTGCAAGCAAAGACAATTGCCACGCATATACCACCCCCAAAGAAAAAATCCTTGAAAAAAAAAACATTGACAACAGCCCTTGCTCCCTCCACCCCCCCCCCAAAAAAAAAAAAAAAAAGAAAAAAAAAGATAGAAAAAAGACAGAAAAAGAAAAAGACAAATCCCAATGGCATAGCAACAGGCATTTAGCATTCCATACTCTGTCATTTTCCAGATCTGAGCCACGCCTGGCAGTCACGCTTTCCCTAATCAGCATAGATAGCATGAGCCATTTGGTATTTCTTATTTGTTCTAATCTTAAGAAGGTGTGTGTATGTGTGTGTGTGCGTGCGGGCTTTGTTCTTTGTGTGTGTATCAGTGTGCGTGTTTGTTTGCTTTTTGTGTGTGTGTTTGTTCCCATGTGCTTGTTAGTTTATACGTGTATGTTCGTGTTTGTTTGTTTCTGTGTATATGTGTTTGTCTATTTTGTGTATATAGGTGTGTGGTTGGTTGTTTTGTGGCCTTGTTTGTTTTATGTATAAATGTATTTGAGTGTTTGAATGTTTGCGTGTATGTGTGTGCTTCTTTGTTTTTGTATGTATGTCTATGTTTGTTTGTTTGAGTGTGTATGTGCATGCTTGCTTGTTTGAGCATAAATATGTGGGATTGTGTGTCTATGTATGTTCGCCCTTGTTTATTCTGTGTGTATATATGTGCGCACTTGTTTGTTTTTAGAGAATTCAACTAATTTTGTATCAAATTTAGATTTACATATCACATTACGTGGAACATATACGAATTATTTTGATATTTCAGAATAGAGGGATTATTACTATACTCATTAACATACTCATTTCCAGAAAGCCTGTGCTCTTCGATATTACATGTCAGAATAGATATATGGCAAATTAACATTCCGTTAAAGGTGGCAACAATCTTAATATCTATTAATTTTGGATTTTTCATTTTTTAGCATCTTTTACGCTTCTGCTAACTGAATCTAGCTCGAGAATACTACCCAAAGACTACAATGCCCCCCCCCCCCCCCACTAATTTTTGCGATATCTTGGGATGAGCTCCGGATACTCGCCTCAAGTTCCATAGGATGTATTGCTTGTATACAAATCTCTTTTTTTTACTCTTTAGATATCTTACCTAAGCTTGTAATGCATTATAAATTAGGGCAGGGCTTGGGGCCTTATCATACATTTTCCTTCGAAATGAGCCGCATTCATGGGACAAATGTTGAAAAGGTATGGAAGAGAATGAATATCTTCACAAT